GCTGAAATCATTCAACTTAGCCCTAAAACTAGAGGCCCATGCCAGGCTTCAAATAAAAGGCTGGGAAAAGGGGAGCACGGTTTGCTCTCCAGATTCAAACGGGACAGGTAGGAAGGGCTTGCATTTCAGTGAGGAAGATGTTGCTTCAACACTAAGGGAAAACCTTTTACTGCTAAGGATGGCAGTGTGCTTGAAACAAACTCCACAGAAGCTGTGGATTTTCTTCACTGGGTGTTTTTCAGAAGATAGGAGCTTCTGTTGGGATTGGAATACACTCATTTTGCCATCAGGGGTTTAGTTTTCTTCTAGTCTACTGTTTCTGTCATTTCCCATCACTTTGCCAATATCAGCAGCCTCCGGATCAACCCATTTACTGCCTTTTAACAGAATAAAATCTCTCTTCTTTGGCACCATCTTGCCTGATCTGTAAGTCTGGGGGAATATATGAAAGGAGTAAGGAGTAACACCATGTCCATCTGCATCAAGATACCCAACAGGGTTATGTAGAGATATTAGCTATTTGCATGTTAGCTACCTTTGAATAAAACAGCACCCCAGAACAGGTTAGCTGTGGCAGTATGAGCTTAGTGCAGTCTATCATACACCATGAACCTCGGTGGCCGGTTTAAGCCATCGCGGGTATTTCTGTGCTGCCTTGTCATCTGCAGAGTGAGCGTGCTGCAAATATGTAAGTGCGTGCACGATGTGGTGGGAAGCAAAAGCGCAGGGAGAATTGCCTTGCACACGTGTGCGTGTTTGTACTGATCCACCTCTCCTTCTCCACTCCCTTGCCTTCGTGTGCGTTCACTCTCCACCTCTTCCTAGAATTCCTGAGGAAGGTGTTAATTCTGAGTAGATTTTTGCTAGAGATAATGTCATAAAATATTTTTCTGTGCAGCTTGGTGGAAGCTTAGACTGTACCGCTTGCTTGTTGTTACTATCCGAAAGAGTTTTAGTCTTACATGTTGAAACTCTAGGTTTGGATTGATGGTAATAATTTCCAATTTTCAATGAGCAGATGTTAATTTGGAGTGTTTAGACATAGGGAAGTTGACAAAACATTAGTACTGGTGAAACTTGACATTTTTAAGAAGAGCACGTGGGTCAATTTTTATGTTACTATGGAATGAACTTAGATTTTTCTGCCATCTAAGTTTCTATTGAGTTGGATGTCTAATCAGATGTCTCATTTTTTTCTTTTCTTGATGCAGAAATGTAATTTTCACAGATTTGAATACGGGAAAAAATTCCTAAATCTGCCAAGCAGTTGACAATTGTTAATGTATAAAATTTGATTGACTTAAGTATTCCTTTTCAGTTAATTTCTGCAGTGTTATTCGGTGTTAAGGTTTTTGGCGCAACAAAGAAAATACGTTTGGGGGGTTGTTTCAGCCAGGAAGCGACTCTTCCATCGTAGCCTTTTACTCAAGTCACACAGCGACCAGAGATGCGGTTGTGCACACAGGGGTGTCTGTTGCACCTACATAAACGCCAAACAAATGCTGGGTGTCTCTTTCTGCCCAGCTTGTGAGGGCCGTGGGGCGAGCACACTACGGCACCGCGTGAGGCGCGTGTGGCGCGGCCTGCCGCACGAGCCGCCACGTAGCCCTCTCTGCTTCCCTTGCAGCCGGGCAGCGAGCTGGACAACCTGGAGGAGATCCTGGACGACCTGCAGAACAGCCAGCTGCCGCAGCTTTTCCCAGATGGCCGCGCCGGCGCGCCGGCGGGCTCGGTGGACAACCCAACCCTCATCCACCACCCCACAGCTACGCTGCAAGTTGGTGCCCCTCTGGGAGGGTAAAAGGGCTACTCCCAAAATAACAATTTTTCTCTCAGAAAATAGGAGCTGTGGCTATATATTATGCTAATATCGGGAGGCTTTTCAAATGCATTTTGTTGTGGTGCAGAGGCTGTTTCTTTGCCAGCTCTTTCTAAAATTGGAGAGAAAAGCTTTCCAAAGCATGGATGAAAGTGTTCTTCTGAAACCACAATATTAATTGGAAGACGTGTGATTAGAAGGGATGTCTAACTTAATTTGGAAATTGTGGCTTTTAATTGAGCTGCTTTCTAGCTGACAGTTTCTTAACTTTATTAATAAAACTACAAATCAGGAGAGAAATATTGGTTCTAACACTATAAAATGATTAAAAGCAAGACAGGAAGTTATCTGTGATGAATGCTGAATAAAATAGCATAAAAGCCACTGTTCTGTTATTTTCCTTAGGCTAGGATGGCAGCCTACTATCCATCCAGTTAATTACATAAATGTACACCCTTGTTTATATTTTCAAAATTAGTATTTAGTTAATGCTTCCAATAAACTGTAGTCCTTTTGTTGCTATCAAGAAAAACATTTTTTCAAGAATAACACTGTTTCAAGTGGACTCAAATTATTAATACAAACATTTAAATGAATGTTAACATTTAAATTTACTTTTAAAACATCATAGCTTCTTAAACTGTAATTAACTGAAACAGCGTGAATGTTGCTCAAAGAAAGATATTTAATGTGCTTATTTTTTAAGTGTGGGGAAACTAACACAAGCAGTATGTGAGTCAGACAGAAATGTCTGTGCATTTAAAATCTTAACATAATAATATTTTGTCAAAAATGAGGTCTGCTGGTTCCTTCCAGAGAGGCATAGGCTTTTGGCTTTCCCAAGTTAACCCTTTGCTTTGGCTCATATTTCTTTTGCTTATCTATTTGTTAAATGAGTTGTAATTCCAAAAATTTCTTCCAGGGAAATGTTAACTTTTTACTGAAGTACAGTGTTATTTATTTCTATGTATCATATTGCAGAAGGAGTTTTGGAAATATTTTTACCCCTTGGTCTCTAAATCTGTTTTCAAAGCTTTTGGTGGTATAATAACAATAGGATTATAAAAGGGAATAGCTTGCTAGTTAGCAACAGTTTTGGTTTGTTTATTTTTTTAAGCATAATTTCCTATGTAAATTAGCACCCTATAACTTTTATTTTTCTCAGCTCAGTCTCATGTCTGTATCTTACTTCCCGAGAGATTTTCTGCCTTGTTTTCAGTATACGAGCACAGCATACAGAGAACAGGTGCAGAGACTTAGTAATCTCTTTTTTGTTCCCATAAAAGTGTTATAGAATCAATGTCAAATCATATTTGATTCCCAAAGTATTTTTTAAAGATTTTTTTTCCAAAGAAATGGTGAGCTTTCGTTTGTTAAAGCTTTTACATGAAAATGCTTTGAATATTTTAATCTGTTTTTGAAAGTTCTTGAAAGAATTGAAAGCTGCTAGTTTGGTGAGATTCCTAAAGTTTATTGCTTGGGAAGCAGGCGCCTCCCTTGGTCTCATCCTGGCTGTGTGATCTGGGGAGCTGAGCACCAGCACATCTCATGAACCATGTTGCTATTTTGTGCTGCATTTCCAG